ATGCCAGGGCCCTCCTTGCCCCTGTGGCAGCGAGCCAGAGAGCAGGCAGCAGGGCCCTGCTTGCCCCTGGCCCCGGCAGCAAAGGGCAAGCAAGCCCCCAGAGAGAGCAGACACCAGGGCCTGAAGTGGCATCAAGCAGGCAGGTCCGCAGAGAGCAGAGAACCACGGGGAGCAGGACTAAGCCATCAGTAGGACATGCCATGAGGGCTCCCAGATTGGAGAGGGTGCAGGTCAGGCTGAGGGATCCACCCCCGCCCTGTGCACAAATTTTGTGCACCAGGCCCCTAGTATTCTAATAACTGTGTATAGTGTCAGACGGGTGCAAGATGCATTGGGATGATCACTTATTAAGTTATATAATCTCTAATCACTAGGATGTACACCTGAAACTAATATAATAATTTGTCAACTATAATTGAAAAAAATGATAGAACTAAAAAAATACAGACAGTCCTCAGGTTATGTTGGACTCAACATATGTCATTTTGTGGTTACATCGCCATCTCCCATTTGTTTATAAAAATAAAATGTTCTGTCATTTCGACATATGTGCATATGTGCTTTATGTTTTTTATTATTTATTTACCACAAATAAAGGTCAGGAATTGCTATCTTTCTTTTAATTTTTTTTTTACTGTTTCACTTCATTAGTGCTGTGTATGTGCTCCATGTGAGTGATGTAGGTGCTTATGTAGGTGGGTTCTGACTTACGGTGAAAATCACGTTATGTCATGCTGTAGGAACGAATCTCTGATGTAACCTGAGGACCTACTGTAAAAAAAAAATGACAGCTGTTTACCTGGTTGCTTATCATTTCTTCCTTATTTAATAACAAAATATTAATATTGGGGGTAATAATTTTCTTAGGTTAAAAGGAGAATGAGGAGGAACTGGCAGAACATGAGAAGTTATATTTCTCAGCTTCTCATTCAAATGGAGGTGGCCAAGGAAAAGCACCTTAAAAGAAATCGACTCAGCTAAGATTGTTTTTGTTTTTTTACTATTGTCCTTGTTCTTTTCTTCTTTTTGAGAACTGCAGTGTTGGACACAAAGGCCAAGATGATTGTAAAACCCATATCTTAAGCCATTAAACAAATAATAGCAGTCGCCCATATCTAAAAATATTTGTCCTTGAAAAAATAATCATTATATGTTTACTCATGTAATCAGGTCTCTATTATTTGTATCTTAGCTTGATTTCTAACAAATACAAATGAATTCAGGGCATTTTGCCTGAGCGATTTAAATGATGTCATTGTAATTTATTGAGAAGAGGAAGACAGTGGGAAGAACAGATTTAGAGGGAAAAGTAGGAGCAGTTTTCTCATGCATTATGTTTGAGATGTCTATTAGGTATCTAAGTGAAGGTTTTCTCTAGATAACTGTACAGATGAGCCAGATATTATTGATGAAGATTAGAGAGTGATTATGGCAACCATACAGATATTTTTGAGCAATTTCTAAAGGGCAGGACAAACCCAGTGATTTCTAAATCTTACTAATTCTTTTAAAACAAAAAATATCTTAAAATTTTTCCTTTTATGTACAATTGGGTAAATATTACTTCACAGCTAGTTTATAAAAGATGGATAAATATCCTTTCTGTCTTTGTTCCTTTCATCACAATGGCATCACAATGAAAATTTACTAAATTTAATAGAATTTTTGTTAACATCTTTAAATCTTTAAAATATTTTAGGTGTCAATTTATGTAAATCAATTTCCACAGAAACTACTTTTAGTATAATAACTTAAATACTAATTAAATCACTAATTCTATTATTTTAATTTTTGTGATATTATCCATTTGTACCAAAATAATCATATATATTTTTACACTTTAAAATATGCAAATAATTTTATGAACAAAAATATAAATCATTCCATCAAAGCATAAAGAAATTATCCCTGTATTTATGACTACTGATTAACATAAATAGCTAATAGATACCTACCAACCTGAGGCAAATAGTAATAAAAGCAGCTATGAAAATATATAACCTGTTGAAGTCCATCCAACCTAAGCAGCAATATTAGTATTGCTGATGTAGCATTGCTACAGCAGTATGGGCGATTATAATTCCAAAGACTCTTTCTCTATAAAAACCTTCCACTGCACAAGCAGAATGTCAAAATTTCCATTCACATTTTAACACTATAGCTATATGTTTCTTTGCTGTCACTGTAATTTACTTAGAGGAAAATTAGGACCATAAAGTTGCACATTTATCATCTTATAGTGTTCTTCCCATTTTTGATTCTGCATTTATGAGCTTGCATTCAGCCAGGAGTTTATTATTTTCCATTTATAAATAGTCAACAAAATAGTAAATTATGCATTTAAAAGCCCTGCTGGCTGACATTTTTTAAAGTTCACTGGATTGTTTATTTATTTATTTATTTATTTATTTATTTATTTATGTATTTGCTA